GCATTATTAGTGACAATTAGATCTAAGATGGCATTTTTTCTGGTAGGAGTCTCCACCATCTGGTCCATGAAGTTGTCGCGCAACATGTTTAGAAATCGCCCCGCCTTTGCCGAACCCGAAGTTCCATTGGCCCAATTTATGTCTGGGTAATTGAAGTCACCCATCACGACTACATTGCCCTCTCTCCCAGCTATTCCTATCTGTGAGTGAAGATTGACTTCTCCCTCTTCCCCTATATTTGGAGGTTTATAGCAAATACCCACGAGAAGTTTACGGCTAGCGTCCGTCATATCTAGCTCCAGCCATAGAGTTTCCACGTCTTCCCCATTATTTGACGTGATATCGTCCCTTATATGCACATATAGATTATTTTTTACGTAAATGCAAATACTCTTCTTTCTTTTACACTCCCTCTGCCTATTCATCTGCTGGGAGCAGGAGAAGTATTCTACATAAGCTACAAGTCATCTGGTAAAGGTTATGTTTGCTTTATAAAAGTTGCTTTTAAAATGTTTTCATCTTCATGGCACAGTACATGGAGCATGCTAACGAACCTTATTCCTGCTGATCTTTTAACCACTAGGTAGGCATCCACTGCATAGCAGAACAACCACCAGAAGCTTGCACTGTAGAAGAGCTGTATCCACATCTACAGGAAAACAGATGGTCTTGTTACCAATATAACACATTTTCTGGCAAGTGCAATACATCGAAAACTTTTAATATTAATTTTCTAAATAATGTCTAAAAGTTAATATTGTAAGCAAACCTAAAAGTGATTGCCCCACCTCATGTTTATAAGGGGTGTCTGCTCTCCCTTTGTTTTGTTCATCATCTCCTACAGTTCTTCCAAAATTAACTACCCCCCCCCATCCCCCACCCCGGCAACAAATTATGGTTGTATTTTACAGATGAAAGATCTTACCATACACTGTACTTGTATAGTTTGACCTATTGAAGAGGTAAGGGGAACAGTTGAAAGATATTCCAGCCCTGTTTACTTTGTGGGAAAACGTTCCCGACGGGTTAAAGCTTTTCCTAAGAAGGGTCAGCCCCTTGGATCCATGGTGTATGCTGTACCTGGGGCCTCTTCAAGTTTGAGATTATGCCCCAACTCTTCCGATGCTAAATCCTGTCCTTTGCTGTTTTCTTGTTAAATGCCACTGCCTCTACTGTCCCCTAAGGCCCTGCTTTTCAATGCAAGCATTTGCGCGATATCGCGCGATTTGCGAATCGCCAACTGTGAGGCCCCATTCACACGGCGCGATTCGCAAATCACGCGTTTGCCACACGATTTGCATTTTGCGCGATATCGTGCGATTTGTCACGCGATATCGCGCAAATGCTTGCATTGAAAAGCATTGAATCGCGGCAAAATCCGCTACAAAAAGGGTCCTGCTGTAGCGACGAACGACCCGCGACAGCAGGACCCTTTGCCCCATTGCCAAGGAGAGCGATATCGCGCTGTAAATAGCCGCGACATCGTGGGAATTACCGCGCGATAAATCGCTCAGTGTGAACGGGGCCTGAATGGGGCCTAAGGCTGTGTATGTAAAATGGAAATTAATGGGGCTATAATTTTAGGTTATACTGTATATCTGCTATAAATAGTTCTGTATGCATGGTTGTACACTAGTGCATGAAGGAAACATTTTTCCTCACTTAGGTATCCGTTCTTGTTTATTTAAACCTGGGCCACCATCAGTAGGGCACAGCTAGAACTAATGAAAGGGGCCCAGGGGCCTGGGCTCTAACCAAGCATTTTTTGCTATAAATTCATATGTACAGACACAATGGTACAGTCCCAGCCTCCACCCCTGCCCTGTACAATTGGTACCTTCCTGTCTACGTGCAGGAAGGGTTTTATTTTCCTTTTCAGGGGGTGGAGCTTTCTTGTAGTGGGCTGAAGCACAGAACACGGAAAGAGGGGAGCTCAGCTGCTGGAGTGGAAAGGTAAGTATTTTAAAGCAGCTGCAGATGTCTGGGGTGGGGTGCCCGTGGGGAGAGCAACGCTGGGTGGGGGGAGGAGGGACTATGTGCAGAGACACACACTGTGGAAACTCTTTAGATTAAAAAAGACAGCAGCTGGTGCCCAAGGCTGAATAGGAGCCCAACGTTGGGGTGGGGTCTTTGCCAGCGTCGGGCCCCATTCAGCCTTGGGCACCGGCTGCTGTCCTCTGCAAAGGCTCCCCCCCACCCCAGCGTCGGCCCCCTATTTAGCCATGGGCACCGGCTGCTGTCCTCTGCAAAGGCTCCCCCCACCCCAGCATTGGGCCTCTATTCAGCCTTGGGCACCGGCTGCAGTCCTTTTTAATTTAAAAAATAAAGAACCACAATGTCTCTGCCATTGTTCATGCATCTGATCACATTGTATGACCAATGGCAGAGACACTGGGTGGATCTTTACTTTTTAAATTAAAGAGGACAGCAGCCAGTGCCCAAGGCTGAATAGGGGCCCGACACAGGGGTGGAGGGGAAGCATTTGCAGAGGACAGCAGCCATGCACAACACTGAACAGGGGCCGAACACTGGGGTGGGGGAGTTGGCAGAGGAGAGGAAGCAAGCAGGTACAGACTTACAGCCAGTGTTGCTGAACTGGGGCAGAATGAGGAGGGGGAGCTCAGAGGGCAGGGGGAGGCATTAGGTCGGACTATTAAAATGTTGATTTGTAGTCCTCCATAGCTTGTGGCATTATGCATTGTTGTATACTGTATATAGGGGTACGCACACCCTAATCACCCTGAGCGCAACACCACAACTGCAGGTGCAATGGGCAGACTGACTGTGCGGGCCTTTGGGTAGTGCATGCGGTCAGGGGAGGGCCCAAGTTTCTTTCGCTCTCCCTCTGCCTCTGTGTGTCCTGGCAGCGGTTCCTCCTCTACAGTGTCACTGAAGTCCTGAGCTTTCCTGAAAGGTGCCACTCTTAGGTCTGCTGTGTATTTGGGAAGGGGGAGAATGCTGTGTTATGTCAGAACTGTCAGTGTCACCTGTGCATTGTCACCCCAGCAGAGTCAGTGTGACCTGTGCCGTGTCACCCCAGCAGAGTCAGTTTGACCTGTGCGTTGTCACCCCAGCAGAGTCAGTGTGACCTGTGCATTATCACCCCAGCAGAGTCAGTGTCAACTGTGCATTGTCACCCCATCAGAGTCAATGTTAACTGTGTATTGTCACCCCAGCAAAGTCTGTGCGGTCATATAACATATTTCATATAATAAGTTGCAATAACGTTAAAATAAAAGCCAGTGAACAGGCCTGTGCAGTGTTGGTAGAGGGGCAGGGGACCCATGTCTAAAGCTCTGTAATGGGCCCATTCCATGCATGTGCATTTACATGTGCACAATTTTTCAGTTGTTTCTATCAAACCCTGTAAAACCCAAAGCTCAGAATGGAAGGAACCATGCACTATATATTATAAATTTTTATTATATAAACAACCAGCTATAGAAAACTAATAAAACTGAACATAATCAAACAAAATCAAATATCTGCATCTTGAGCCCAACAATTCCTAAGGAATAAATGTATTCAACTTACCGCACTTCCAACACAAAAAGCAACGTGTAAAACACTGGTACTGTTCATTTCTGATATATTGGCAACAAATGATGGAGAAGATACCCATACTGTTGACCGAAGTATAATACCTGGAATAAAAATGACATGCTAAACTCAAGGCAAATTACAGTGATATTGTGGTGTGTTGAAGAAAAAGGGGTCAGTGTTTTTGCAGTGTACATGAATGGTCACAGGTACCACAATGAGTGTTGAAACCTCAAACACCTAGTCACCTGCAGGTGTTAAACATCATAAAAATTAGTAGTACAAAACAATGCCTGAGATCTTCCTCTCACAGAGCTGATCTATCAAGTTTAATCTAGAGCAGCGTTTCTCAACCTTTTTTTAGTCATGCCACCCTCTAAAGGTGGCCATACACTTTACAACCCTCGCAAGACTTTTGTCTAGCGAGGGTTGTAAAGTACTTAAAAAAACGTTCGATCTGCCCATCTTGGACAGGCAGATCGTACTTGCGATCATCGCAAGCCCGCCCCCCTGAGGGGCGGACTTCTGATGACTGCAATGAGGGGCGGGCTTCCGATGACTGAAAACGGGCAGTGTGCACGTGCGTACACCGGCCCGTTCGGCAGTTGTCGAACAAGCAGGCCACTAACTAATCGTACGATTCCCGGCGGGTTTTCCAGCCTGCTTGTTCGACGGAAGACGTGTGACCGTACAGTAGAAAAGGTTGCACGCCTTCCATACACTGCATGATTATTGTACGATCGTGCAGTGTATGGGCACCTTAAAGGTATGCAATATCATTTTTAAAAATCAGCTATCTGTGTAGTACAAAACAATGGCTGAGCTCTTTCTCTCACACAGCTGATCAATCAAGTTTAATATAGAGCAGAGTTTCGCAACCTTTTTTTAGTCACGGCACCCTTTAAAAGTATGCAAAATCGCGCAGCACCCCAGTCATAGATTTTAGGGGAACCCCATGCTAAAACACATAAAAGTGGGTTTCCCCCTTCACATCGAAGTACCCTGGTTGAGAAAGGCTGGGTAGGAAATATGCATCCTTTCCTGCATAAATAAGTGTTAGGAGGCACGCAGAGTAAAAGTATTTTTTTAATTAAAGGACAACCTTAATAGTTTGGGGTCAATTTTGTTTTAGGCTTTTTTAAGTGTATGTGTTTTTACACAGTTGTTTTGTAGCTGTTTTACGAAAAAATAATAATATTTGGCAAAGGATTACAGATCAGTTAGCTTAAGAAAATAGGACAGCAGTAGCTGCTTGCTTTTTATTTCAGTTGAAATGTGGGACTGAGCTGTGTGTGTGTACTAAACATGCTTTACAGCAAAGTAAAAACCAGGAAATCATGAAAGGGATCCTAAAGCTCCGTCTGTAGGCTAAAAGGAAGATTGCTAAATATTAGCATGAAATATTTAATTTTTACCTGATTAAATGGTGTGTGTGTGTGTGTGTGTGTGTGTGTGTGTGTGTATTAATTAATTTACTTCGAAGAACATCAGAAAAACTCCAGGCAAAATTGAAATGCATGTATATGGACTAGATTTACATATTAAAAACAATGAATTATAGCAGAGAATTAAGTTCTCTGTTGTCTACTGATTGTATCCAGAAATATATTCAATACTTCATTTTGTCAAAAAACATTTAAATCCACATGAGCATCCAATTTGTTTTCTATAAAATACCCTCTATGACATCAGGAGTAAACTCTTTTCCAATAAATATTGTCTATCCTAGGGTTATTCGTAGAACAAGCACATGCCTTAGTTCATATGGGAACAGATTGCGCATACATCTTCCTTGTTTATTCCTCATTCATAGGAGGTATAGTTTAATTTTTTTTTTCTAAACCACTTGCCAACCTGCCAGAGTATTAGCTCATACAGTTACTCCTGCATTGATTGCAACTAGAGATGATGTGCTGTCTGAAATTATCAAAATGTACCATTGTACATGCCAAAGTATCTGTAGTTCTATCTAGCCTCATCACACAGCCAGAAAGGCATCACCTCTTTGAATAACACCACAAGGACACCAACTGGAGTTTTATTGTCCATAGCAGACTTTTTATTAACAAAACGTAAATAACAGATAAAACAACAACCACAAATGGGGTCCAAAGTCCTTTTAGGCACTTTAAAGTGACACTAAACTCGGGAGTTAAATCTTAAAAATGCATTCAATTACCCCAACTCTAAAAATGTATCTTAAGGTGCCCATACACCTTACGACCATCGCAAGGAAATCCCGCGATCGTAGGATAATCGCAAAGTGTATGGAAGGCGTGCAACCGTTTTTACTGTACGGTCACACGTATTTTGTCTAAGGAGCATGTTCGAAAACCAGCCGAATATCTTACGATTTTCGGCTGGTTTGTGGCATGCTCGGGAGACAAATGCCAAACGGGCCGGTGTGCGCACGCGCACACTGCCCATTCAGCATTGCGGTCATCGGAAGCCCGCCCCTCAGCGGGGCGTGCTCGTGATGATCGCAAGTACGATTTGCCTGTCCAAGATGGGCAGATCGTACGTTTTTTAAATTACTTTACAACCATCGCAAGACTAAGGTCTTGCGATGGTTGTAAAGTGTATGGCCACCTTTAGGGTGTCCACATCTATCCATAACCAGAGCCCATATATCTCCATAATTAAAGATCAGATGGGTTAGGTGATGAATGTGACTGCAGCAAGCAGCCAGGCCTAGGTGATGCATCATGAAGAAGAACATGAAAGCCCCTCTTAGGTAGCCATTGCCACCACTGTTTCTTCTTTCACCAACCTTAAAATATGAGCCATGGGCATGAAAGAGGATCCTGCCACTTTCTGAAAATCCTGAAAATTAGGTTTGAGGCTAGGTTCACACCAGATGCAGTGTGTTCCAGCCCGATTCTGGCCAGAACGCACTGCATCGCATTGCTGCCGCGGGGCAGGAGGGGGCGTGGTTATGGTGCCATTCTATGGTGCTAATGGACGATCGCATTGAGACCGGAGGGCGTGGCTATGGTGCCATTCAATGGTGCGCCACGCCCCTTCCTGCCCTGCAAAAAAGTGAGGCGGCAGCAATACGATGCAGTGCGTTCTGGCCAGAATCAGGCCGGAAAGCACTGCATCTGCTGTGAACCTAGCCAAAGTTTTTCTGTGTAGCACCTGTTCCAGATGGTGCTATTTTGCTCCCTCTGATGGCAGGATGAGGTGTGGCATTTTCCTATTGTAGCATTGACCCAAAATAGTGGACAGCCAGTAATGTTCCCTCTCCTTGATGGCCTCAATTCTGGGGGTTCTTGCGCAGGCACTGCAGCATGAATTCACCACAAATTCCCTATGGCAGAGGGACTCTGAGTTCTTCATGACTCTAAGTGTAACAGTGTCCTCAATCATCTCACCTCACTCATGTACAACTCCTGGTATTTGGGAGAAGTGAAACGTACCCCTGGAAGCATACCCATTTTCTCCTCCTTTACCTCATTTGATACGCTGCAGGCAGAGGCTGCAAACCACTATGGTGCTGTCTGCAGTACATGTGTGAGAATAGCCCTGCTAAGCGGAGCTGGAGAGTCCAATGTCTTCCACCCATGAAGCGATTCTCTCCATTCCCTTGCAAGCTACCCCTGAATGACATCCTGCTTCACTGATCAATCCGTGATATCTAGGTATGGTCTGCCACCTCATCATCCCCACCCTCCTCATCGCTACTTTAGCCTGTGGATGCACAACCTTCTCCCACCATAATGGCTGCATGTGGAAAACCTCTGTCTCTCCTTCCAGGGCTCCCAGGCAGTGGCGTAACAACCGTGGAAACAAGGGACTGGCACACAAAACAAGGTAGCCTTTACAACGAATGTTATATCTATTCACTGTGAATACAACAGTTGGTACACACTTCAATGCAGATCACAGTAATGGAGCACTGAACAGCACAGTGAATACAGGGGGAACACTCCACTTTCTCTAGGCCACTACACTGCAATTCACTATAATGTAGCAGTGGCAGTATGCAGGACTGTATACTGGAGGTAGCACAGTACAGTAGTCACTATCCCTCCCTAAAATGTCAGCTGTCCCTATCTACTCCCACTCCAACACACACTGACAAAAGGTTGTTAGGAGAGCTGACGTATATAGGTAGGGGGCTGGCCGTTTTCCAAAGCTCTATTATCGACCACACCATGCCACTTGACCACAGTTTACTTGGGGAACACACCCATTAGTTTGCAGATCAGTTTGCATCGCTGCAAACTTGAAACTCATCCCTTATGAGTACTATCATTCATGAAAATAGCTAGAAATGTGCAATTCATTAAAAAAGGAACAAATACTAAATTTGTATTGATCATCTGCTCTGAATTCTTGTCTTATACACTTAATCCACATATAACTAGTTTAGTCTTCCACTAGTAACTCTTCATTATAGAGCAGGCAGGCAGAACTTGTTTCACACATAATGGAGTTAAACTGTTCCCTGGGGCTGGATTAGTAAACTTGCCTAATTGATGTGTTAACCTTAATCATCCTCTCAGCATCTAACCATCAATGTCCACAGATGTTTGAATGCATTACACTTAAATACTGAATGGAAGGTCTTTACAGTTCATTTTATAAGGTTATTTGTTCATTTGCTGGGTTGAAGAACTATCAATCAATTATCTAAGGCAATCTACAATGGAAGAACTGTATGTACATGCAGGCCATACATGTGACTCAAGGAAATGTCCTACATGTGACACTGTCCAAAAACTCTCAAAGCACTACAAAGACAAAACCTTTTAACCATTTTGGTCACATGGTCTTCCAGATAGTTTGTAGACTAACCTAAAGAAAGATATTTTAAACATATACAGAAGACTTCCCCTGACTTTCCTTCCCGATCACCTGTTTCACCTGTTCAGGTAGGATGGAAAATCTAGTTGCACAAAAAAAAGCATACTTACAAATATGGTGTAATTGTGTGAGTTATTGTGTGAATGAGAAGTTCATACAGATTTAGTCATAGTGTTTGCAATTGGACAGTCTAAATAACTTCCAGCATGACCAGTATTGACAATATACTTTAACATGTGCAAGTAATGCGATTAAGGCTAGGCACACACCTTACAACCATCGCAAGACTTTTGTCTTGCGATGGTTGTAAGGTACTAAAAAAAACGTACGATCTGCCTATCTTGCATAGGCAGATCGTACTTGCGATGATCGCAAGCCACGCCCCCTGAGGGGCGGGCTTCCGATGACCGCAATGCCGAACGGGCAGTGTGCGCTTGAGCGTACGGCTTTTATCGTACGAACATGCCACAAACCCGCCGAACATCGTACGATGCTCGGCGGGTTTTCGAACATGTCCGTAAGTTAAAAGTCGTGCAACCTTACAGTAGTAGAGGTCGCACGGCTTCCACACACCTTACGATAATCGTACGATCGCGGGATTTCCCGCGATTATCGTACGATTATCGTAAGGTGTGTGGGGACCTTAATTCAAACATAATGTACTGTACAAATGCCAATTTAGAGTGCATGGGTCAGTCAAATTTACCAAGATGCTGGAAATACATAACAAATGCCAATTTAGAGTATATGGGCCAGTCAAATTTACCAAGATGCTGGAAATACATGACAAATGTCCATAAAAAAAAAAAATGAAATTCACTGAATACACCCCAGACACAATGTTGCAACGATTTAACTAAATATTCCATTACTACCTATAAAATATAAACCGTCTGTCCCAGATAAAACGTTCTAGTGAATCAGATAGGTGTTCTATTGCAGTAATAATTTAAATTACCTAAGGGTTTCAAAGGGCAAAATATCCAGTAAGCTGGAAGATGTCTACTATTGGTGCTTGAGCAGAACTCAAATCTCCATTAGATCTTCCCATGTAAGGCCCACATCATAGAGATCTTATTACTGTCAATGATATTTGGTAACTAAAGTAAATACATTATTACCCTTGCTGTTGTTTTAATACCAGACACAAGTTAGAATTAGTTTTATGCAAAGTGTTATATGTCATATATAAATACAAAACATGCATGCAAATATTAACACATACAATATTTAGATTGTCTTACCTAAACAGCCAAGCAGATCACATACTATGACTAAGAGGAGGATCTTTGAAGAAGAAGGTTTAGGCAAGGTTGATCTGCTTTGTTTCCTGAATCCTTGTTTTACTTTAGGCAGCATTTGCACAATGGTTAACAAGAGACTAAACAGCCCACTACCAATGCACAGAGAGCTAAATATATTAGGTTCATAATCCAGAACGAGTTGGGTGGCAGGATCCCTGTTGGGACAGCAGAAAGTCTCCAGCCGTGGGGAAGCCATGGCCCGGCTAGAAAAGCAAGTCAACTATACAAAAGTCAGGGGAGGAAAGAAGCTAATGAAATTTACTCTGACTTGTAGGCTTCATTCTTCAGAACTGTTCATCACGAGTTTTTACGCAGATCATGTGCTTTAAAATCCCTGCAGCTATGTCTCTGCCCTCATTCATTGAAATCTCAGGAGCCCTTGCCAGCATGGGTTATAGTAGGCATACTTCACACATTTTAAGCACAACTCTTTGTCGAGAAAAGCTGCAATATAGTGCGGTGTGAGAGCATCACCTGTAAAGTATCACCTACATTTTAGATATATTCTTGCAGAAATGGTAACATTACTTCACATGCCTTTGCTGCAGCAGATGGATTACATTAGCATTCTGCTAAATATAGTTGAGAAAATCTCGTTCCACTGCTTTCCTGTTTGAACTTGTTGACACCAGCACTTTAACCGTCTGTATTTTATCACTGTCCAACACACAGTATTACCTGAAGACACTGAACTGACTAAACTGATGTTGTTTGATAGCGAAGGTCATATTTCTGGATTACCTCTGTAGTGCCGAAATTGCCCAATCGATAGATCTGAACATGTTGTATGATTGTGGAAAGATTTTACATGCAAGAGATCATTCAGTGGAATAGATCATGCCGTAATTTCCAACTGCTATATGGTGTCAGTAGGTAGCTTGGTGGAGAAAGTCCTACAAAGTCTTTGGTTTCTTTTTTTAAGATATACATATGAAAGAGATTAACTTGATGTACAAAATCCAATCAATATGTGTCAAAGTGTTAGTACACCCAAAAGAGATATTTTCGTTATATCATGGTGAAAAATCCATTAATTACAGCTACTTGCTATAATTTCAAACTCGGTTCCTGTCCAGCAGGCCATTCTGAACTTAGGCCCCTTTCACAAGGGCAATCCGATCGGGTCCGCCTTTTTTCAGGCGGACCCGATTGGATACCCAATGCTAGTCTATGAGCAGCCGTATGTAAATGGACAGGCAACCATTTATACCCTGTTTCCCCCGGCTCCGGCCAGGTCCAGAAAAACAAACAGAGCAGTGTTCCTTTTGACGGACCTGATTGCGGGTAATCTGATATAAATGGACACATGTCCATTTACATCCGATTTCCCATAGACCAACATGGAGTCTGGTCATTTCAGTTTTTTCCTCCATCGCAAGATGGAGGAAAACACTGGACTTACATGGATGTCACAGCGGTGACATTTGATCCATACCACTGCAATCAGGAGGGGATCCATGCATGGATTCCCTCCTGATCAGCATGTGTGAAAGGGATAAATATAATAAGCTGCCTCACAAGACAATAGCTCTGGTGTGGGAGCTTATACGCAACCACAAATTCTCTGAGCTATACAGACACTCCTCACTTAACGACCGAGTTCCGTTCCTACAACTAAGTCGTTAGGTGAATTTGTCGGTAAGCGAGGAAATGTATACAGTATGTACATTACAATATGTGTGGTCGGCACACAGCCATGCACATAGAGTACTGCATGCATATTCTGACAGAGTGAGAGATGGGAGGCTGAGCTTGTCGGTGGATCGAATCAGGTGAGTATTACAAACAAAAATGTTTTATCTTATGTTCCCGGGGAGACTTTCGGTCCCATAGCTGTCATTGCTCGGCTCCTGAAGCCCAGCAATAAGCTATTGAAGTGCAATGAAATAAATGTAAAAATAATTTGAAATTTCTTTTTTTTAAAGTCCCCCACGTGCACATGCATTATAATGTAAACATGTGTTGGGTGCACCTACGTACGAAAATGATGATCGCGCTGCACATGTTGGGTATGGCCACGCATGCCAGAGTGAGAGCAATAATTCTAAGGCCAATATTTATGCGTATATCAAAACTAATTATCTGTAGGGGCTTTTGAAGCGTTGTCTATGGACTTTTTGGGGTGCTGAATTTTGTTGCCGTTTCACGGATGTATACAATTTTCAGCCTGGGCATGCTGGGTATCTATTTACTCGTTGTAACCTCCTCTTTTATATTCTATTAAAAAATGGGTATTTTATTGTGTTTTGGGCCACTAAATTTAACTTAAGTGCATTTTCCCTTCATTTTGAGTTTAAGAAGTTGTGCTAATATCGTGCAACATAAAAATTTGCAACTGCCACCATTTTATTATACAAGGTCTTGGCTTTCAGAAAATATATAATGTTTGGGGTTTGAAGTAACTTTCATGCCTAAAATGTGGATTATAACATGGGTGCAAAAAAACTAAAAAAAGGCTTCAGCCATTAAGGTGTTAATAGGAGTGCGTTTCAGATATCCAGATTCCTAAAAAAAAATCACTGAAGGAAGATCTTCTCCTTAACCACTTGCCGTCCGCGCGTAGTAAAAACACGGACGGACGGCACTGCAGCATTGGCGGGTTGCCGTCTGCAGACGGCATTTTTTTCTCTGCTCGCGCACGCCCCCTAGCGGGCACGCACGGGCAGAAAAGACCCGACCATTGCACACACCCGTTACCGGGTGTTTCACATATAGGCGATTAGCGGCTCCATAGCCCGCCGATCGTCTATATGTGCTCGTTCGTAAAATAAAAGTCACATATAAAAAAAGGGGAAAAAAAAAACCCAAAATGTTTAACTCCCCCACCCCCACGTTTACGCGCCTATAAACGTAAATACGCGTCCGGTGCCCCAGCGCGCAAAAATTTAATTGCGCTACACATGTTACATATCGCCGCGAACGTCGCAGTGAGAGCAATCATTTTAGGGCCATCAATCACTGATAACACTAAACTGATGAGCGGTAACAGCTTTTAAAGCGTCGCCTATGGGCAATTTTGGGTATTATCGTTTTTTGAGGTTTCGCGCGCGCACGCAATTTTAAGGCTTGACATGTTTGGTGTCTTTTTACCCGACGTGACCCCGTCTTTTATATTTTACCAAAAAATTGGGTAATAATAAATGTTTTATCATTTAATATAGGGGAAACTGTTTTTGTTTTTAAAATTTCGGTAATTTTTCCTTAATATAGTAAAAAAATTAAAACCCCAGTGGTGAATAAATACCACCAAAAGAAAGCTCTATCTGTCCCCAAAAAAGGGTATAAAATTCATTTCAGTACAGCGCTGCATGACGGAATAAATGTCAGTCAAAGTACCGCAGCGCTGAATACTGAAAAATGGCCTGGATGGGAAGGGGGTTTAACACCGCGGATGTCAACTGGTTAAGGATTCACTGCCCATCTACCCTAGTGTCATAGTTAGAAAACCAAAGACCCTAAGCAATATGTTGGCACCAAGTAAGGTAAGTGCCCTTAGACCTAGGAATATGGGGTTAGTCATGTTTGGTCAGAGGGGCAATTATAGGTGCAATGTCCCCAACTGTGGCCTGTGCCACTTTATGTGGCACAGATAAAAAGAGGTATCTAGCGCCAATGGCCAACTGTTCCCTATTAAACAGTTTATAAACTGAGGAACAGATTTTGTCATCTATGGTCTTATCTGCCCTTGTGGCAGAATTTATGTTCGAAGAACTACTAGGGCGTTTAGAGTTAGATTTGGGGAGCACAAATGCAACCTTATTAAGAAAGCTGAGCATCACTTTACCAAAATATTTTCTATCTTGTCATAATGCTAGTCCAGAGGGGATTAGAGCCTTTGGTATTGAAGCTATTCCTCTTTTGGGCGATGAAGGGACTAGGTTCAAAAGACCCTGCATCAGGGAGACTTTTTGGATCTACAAATTAAATAGTCTGGCACCCGTAGGCCTAAATGAAACATTGGATATATCTTCAGCCTTCTAAATCTATGTGATATGAAGAGAATAAACAGGATGAGGACCTTAGTTCATGGTTTGATTAGTTTCCTTCTGTTGGTTAGTTTGGAGGTTAGGAAGTGGGGACTGGCTTTGGGAAGCTGGGATTGAAGGTTGCAGGCATTGTTTGGTCAAGTAGCAATATACACGCATATATACATTTAGTACAGTATTAGCCATGGGTTATCTGTGCTACTGTACACTGATCAGGTATGGTTCAGTGTTCATTTGGATTTGACAGTTTGTACCGTTCTCATCGACTTCATGCAAGGCATTCTTACTGCTATCTTTGTGAGTAGTTTGGCATTATTTGTACACTATTTATGTTAATAAATCAGTACTGCACAGGGTTTGGGTGACATTCTTTGTGTTTTCCTTACATGAGTGAGAGCTTTTCAATCTGATGAGGAGCAGCATGTCTGTGACCAGTCACCCAGAGAGAGATGGTGATAGACTGTTAATTAGTGCCGGAGGACTCTTTTCTATGTCTATTAGCAAAGCGTGAATCCAAAGGGTGTAGTCACTGCAGTATTGGTTGGTGACAATAGGCTGTTCTAGGTTTGCCAGGTTCGTGAACATGTAACAGACAGGTCTCTTTAGGCGTTATGTTTGTAAAGATACTTTTAGGGCTTGTTCACACCAAATGGAGACCAGATCTGCATGAGTTTCTGCACACACAGTGCAGTGTGTTATACCGCATTTTTTTAGTTTAAAATGGGCTTTCAGTGCTTTCCATGGCGTTTGCATGCGTTTTTGATGCGTTTGCATGCATTCCAGAGCAGGTAAAATAGGGCTTGCTGCTGTTTTTTTACATGCTCTGGAACTGAACGCTGCAGTGTGAACTAGAGCCCAAAATACCATTGGAATACATTGGACGCAGTTTTGATCCGGTCTGTAACTGCTCTGCTCCTGGAACGTGCTTGGTGTGAACAAGCCCTCATTGTTATTATTTCTTTTTTGTATTTATAGAGTGCTGACAACTTATGCAGCACTTTACATACTGCACATTCTGCACATTCGCAATAGTCCCTGCCCTCAAGGAGCTTGCCATCTAATTAATGTCCCAATCTCACAAATACGCACACACACACGCACATCCATACTAAGACAAATTTAGACAGCAGCCAACTATCCTCCCGGCATTTCTTTTGGAGTGTGGGCGGAAACCCGTGTAAGCCAAGGGAGACCATGTAAACTCCATGCAGATCACTTTTCTTCTCAAGTCACTTTTTAGCATTATTTAGCTGCTTATTATACAGTGAAGACTTATATAGTATAGACTATAAACCACTGCATGCCTGTTGTTGTGTTTTGT